TGGTGGGCTCACTCCGGAATCACTCTGCATCGCAGTCATGCGCGATAACTCCGCCTCAAGCATAGCTACGCCAGGGAAACTAGGTCAAGTGATATTGACAAGCGATACCTAAGGAGGCCACCGCGCGTCACGGTTAGCTTTCAGATTAGAGTTGACGTTGATATGTCACGCAGCACGCAGCACGCAGCAGTTACCAGTCATCGAACCACCGGAGCTGGATAAAGCCTGGGTCCGAATGCCACCTCCCGCCGACCACAGTGTAATCTACTGATCACGCAAGGTATGTGCAACGAGCCAGAATGTCAGTGCTAACGCTACTAGTGCACCGCGGGAAGTGCAAGTAGCGACGACGCACAAAGGTAGCGTTAAGGGGAAAACAAAAATTAAAACACAAGCTGAAAATAAAACGACCGTGTAATATAAAAGCGTATAGTGCGTCGTATTTTGCTGTAAATATCGGGTTTATACCAGTTGCTAATATTTATCTGCGCTATAGTTCAACATATGCGTAGCTGAGGTAGCACAAATTTGTGTGTTGTGTGACTCAAATGCAAATGGTAAGGGAGAATTGCCCACTCGAAAACAATGAACTCCACCACTAAGCGTTTCGATTGTGTTGAATCTCATCAGGTACGGATAGCAGATCACGAAGCTAGGACCAGTGGGATGTTATATATTGCATCTAACAGTCAAACCGACGAATGCCATTTGCAGTGTGGCGAATTGTCAGGACTACCTGTCCAAGATTCGTTTCGAATGCGAATCACGGTCCCCATTGAGATGGCGCGTCGCAATCCAATCACCCAACGAGTACTACAAATGACCCTCCAATCGGTAAGGAGGGATATATGTGATGAAGAAACAGCTGCCGACATGAAGATATATGTGTGCATGGTTGCACGTCGTCAATGTATTCAGATAATCATAGTTTGGAAATTAAGGTTCAAGATAGAAAGTGAGCTCCTATTTGTTGGACCCGAGTTGTCCGTTAAAACACAAATCGGATGAGCTTGGTAATTGGAGAGAAAATTAGTGCAATAAAATTCTGGTTACATTTTAACCACGTGGGTGTGTGGTGGCTGTCTGCCTGAGTCTAGTTGCGACGAACCTTCACTAAAACCCATTAGATCCACTTGTTGCTCACTAAAGATCATTTTAATTGCATCAGCTCACCAGAGACCTTAGAGAAAACATTTCCTTATTAGCCCTTCAGCTGATAGATCCCGTCATCAATACCTTCCACAAAGAGTGGATGGACTGCTGCACCGGTGATAAAATCCAAACACCCACTGCCGGCTTGTTCCAGTGACCGTTGTGTACGTTAGTTGTGATATCGGTTATTGCGACAACTGGAAACCTATCCGAGGTAGTAATTGTTAGGTGTAACTAGGGTTTTCCCCTTGTTTCGACCATTCAAATCGTCCTATGCAGACTGGAACGAGAATGCTGGTACTTCCCCTGAGGCCGAACTGCCCGAGGATAACCTCGAGGTGAGTCGAAATTCCACTTGAGATTATGCATCGCAGACCATCTACTTAGCGGAGAATCCAGAAAACCGACAACGAATTCTTGACCGCCATTCTAAGCATTGCAGTGCAGATCAGTGACCTAGTAAGTAGGGTACAGCTATCCAGAGACACGTACCGGTTCCAACTCCCAGTCTAAGCCGTCTATACCTGAAACGTTTAAACAAGGATAGGGGCCATCGCTGGATGCAGTGATCACTTTGTAGTAGGTATACATTATGAAAGAAAGGTACCAGTAGGGTAAACGTTCCCACTAAAACGACCCAAACAAGGTTATGGTGTTAATGAGGTATATTTTTGACTACATTTTTATGTCTTGATGTGTACAAGTAATCCAGTTACACTGTTTGAATTTGGCAAGGTAACCTCGAGCACGAAATGCAACGAAGATCGAAGTTCGTTTTCTTCAAGTGGGCAACTCTCATCCCATGTAGTTACTAGTGGACGGCACCTCACGCAGTCGTGTAACAACAGTCACTAGAGCGACATATTCGAAAGGGATAAAAAGAAGATCGCTACGCAGTTGGAGTACGCACCAATTATAGTGCATGGGTAAACATATTTTCTTTGTGTAAACCGTTCCCAAGCAACCAGAAGTTCAAAATGGCGTGAAGAATGTTCACCTCGATAAATCTCGCCAGGTCTCTACAAGTATAAAGCAAAATTTACCTTTGACAAACACAGCGGTACATCGCTAATATCATCGCATCCATAGATATTGTTTTATTTACCCTTAAAGACTCTTTCAACGGAAGTAAGGTCACCGGGCTTAAAGCGTCTGAGTTTGGACAGTCCCACCAGGTTAACGGCACCGGTGAAGCGCTTGAAATTAGCAAACGCTAGTGCGCCAACTTATTATCGTCGCGGAGATCTTTGACACAAAGCAGATAGTCAAACTTGCCCAGATTGCACAGTGAAGTGGAAAATCTGTGATGTTTTTCCCGTCGAGTAGCCTTATTTAGCCAAGAACCGAGCAACGCTTCCTCTTCACCGGTCACAGGAAACAGTTTTCTGTCAAAAGCCTCTGCAATCAGAAATTGGCTTAACTTTTTGATGGAATCCAAAATCCCTTCTCCCGACGAGAAAGAGGATTATGAAGAAAAGTATTGACAACCGCTTCACGGTCAAATGAACACCGTGATGACTAGGGAAGCGCTTCAAAAAGTCAACCAAAAAAACAAAAGTATACAAACTTACCCCACTAAATCCCTCAAGGATGGTCTCACTACACGAAGCGTGCTATGTATTGCAGCACGAATTCGCGGTCACTGATGGTTGTTTTATGTGAGGATCGAGAATGGTGCCCTCACAGGTACTAACGTCCGAAATTTTGCATTGTATGTAAGTAAGACGTTATGGAATCGTATGAAAGGGGCACCGATTGCAAAAGCTTTTCTGGTGGGTGGGAATGAACAGCATGGTGGAGGCGAGTGTCAGGCTTGCGATACGTGTCAAAAAGCCGATAAGAGCTCTGAGCAGATTGCTGAAACAGTGCAACGCATCACATACCCTTTGAAATCCAGGTGGTTGGCATTGAGAACCTTCCAAACTACACCAAAGCATAAGAGGAGCTGGTTGGATGGGGTCATTTTTATGTAAACACTGTGTGAGTTGATTATGACACGCAATCCAATGTTTATCATGTTAAAAGAACGGGTCAACCGTAGCTGCTTGGTCGAATGCCGATGTAAGCTGCTCTAGCTAAATGCGCGGATCTAGCGCATATGAACGGAACACAATCTGAGTTTCAGTGTAGAACAAGGTGGGTTCACTAATTAAGTTCTGCTCAACATGTGGACAAGTTTGAATGTCATTGTTTTGTATCATACCCTTTTATCCTTTGCTTCTTATAGAACATAATAGCCTTTTAAGACAGACATACTCTGTTTGTGCCTCGTCTCCTCTTGTCTCTACCGTCGGTAGGTGGAAGCAGTCACCGGACGCGACACAACGATCAGCATTAGAGGAACTGTTGGAAAGCAACGTCTGAAATTCAGTTTCGGAGCGATGCGAACGCTTTCATTGTCACTTGGTTGCCATTGGCACTTGGTCGCCATATCTGGACACGCTCAAGTAATTGTAACGGACAACCGGCTAAATTTCACTGCGCAGAATTTCAGTCATTTTCATCATTTCCGTGGCGCGAGACACGCTTAAAGTGTCCTGCGCGACCGAGCTACCCAGAGAATGGCTGTGAGCACACAAGTCGCACGTTAAACGAAAGATTACAGGTAGCAAGTTTGTCCGGCACACAGCGGGAGGATGCAGTGATTGAGGCTGTGTTGACGCGTGGAACGAGAGTGGTCAATTGCACAGCTCTTTGGCAGAGCTCAGTAATACCGGCCATTGAGACAACAATCACAACCAGCTTGAGGATAGTAAGATATACCAGTCCACTAATGATAAGTGGGATTACCGCTGCGCCCCGGAATGCCCACACCTGAGCGAAACACGAGCACACAAAGAACAGTCGACATTATCGCACGCAGTCAGTGGAACGACCAGGAGCTTAAGGTTTTATAAATAACCATTGAGTCAAACAGTTCCGCAATCCCCTCAGTCGAACGTGTCGCAACCAGCCCAACGGGCGGCTCAGCTGAGATCCAACCGGAAGGGGGCAGCGTTTTGTGTGCGCCAGACCTATCTACCCCACCTTTCAAGTACGCATGGGTAGAACAGCTGACAACAGTGTTGCGTGAGCTGTGGGCGACTACTTCTTTGAATACACTTTGTACTTGTATTCCGTTCCGGGTGTACTTGTTCTGCCAGCTGGATGACAGGAAACTGAGTTGCAAATAAGTGTGCCTTCTACTGCGTCTACGTTTATATCAGTGAAAAGCATTAAGTCCACTTAAACAATTTTGTGGAAAATCGGGATAGTTATGCGAAGCATACGCGCAATGCTCCAAACTTATCATTTGTGACCTATCACATGTTTCGTTTGGAGTGCAAAGCAGCATGACGGACGCAATTATGGATTTGTTGTTCCACAATTCTCTGATCACACATCACCATAGTCAGGAAAGTAACCAAGATATCTATAATCGAATATCATTATCCTACAAGTTGGGACTGTGTGCGTGTTGAAAGGTAGTGCGATTTCGCACAAACCCTGGTGCGTGTGGCTACTGTTGTTAACTGAGAAGCCTCTGGTGATGGTGCTCTGCTCAGTTCCTATGTAATCGGTAGTCGAGGTGAAACAAGGTTGATTTTCTTGCGGTCACTCAAGGGGCTTGGTTTACACCGTTAGTCGTGTTAAGCTTCACTGTGCATCAACTGACCAGTGCTACTTTTGGCTAATGGAAGAATAAACGCTTTCACGGTCCACATGAAATAATTAAGTGATAAAAGTTCTCCTACTCCGGCCTCTGCAACCTGAGAGCGGATTCAGTTAAAGGATCATAATCATAGCAGTATTTGCCTTATCACAGAACAAACTGCATTAGGGTTGGCATCAGTTAAAATGGCACTCACGAGGCATCGATTTCGAAACATGGCAGTGAAAACCGGGGAATATATGGACAGAATGGCACGATGACAGTGCAACTTGCGTCCTTGTACAATGAGGATTGCGTCACTGAATAGAAAAGGAGTCTCGAAGTCGAAATCCTTAGTCTTTGGTTCCGATTCTCTTTCCTCCTCTGCATCGCGGCTGAAACAGTGATGTGGCAATATGAAAAGAGAGAGGGAGATAAACGAACACAAGTTCAAGATAACTTTAAAAAATTTGACACAGATGTGAACCGTAAGAAGAGTTTATGGAGAATAAGTGAAGAAGCAAGTCGATGACGCAAAAGTAGCACGCGCATTCTTGTCCGTGAAAAGACAGCTCGCACACTTGAGATGTTGGGAAGCCATTAGATGGCTGCGGTCAATCAGGGTACACACGCCTTACTTGCCATTGTTCCGAACCTCCTCATCGATAAACCCAATACGGTTGTCAGTTGCAATAAGTTCACGGTAGTAAGAGAGCGACGAATTTAAATGTGGATCGCTCACGTGTGTTCGTCTTCATCGTCTTTAACTGATGGAAATCCACAGTAAATACAGAAAACTCTCCTTTTCATCTGAACACTGACCAACACCCAACAACGACAGAGTGTGGGGAATGGGGGGGTGCTTCATGGATGACAGTGGTCAGTCTGTTAGCTTGCTGCGGCAAAAAGCCTATTGATAAACCAACCGATAGGGTTCACTCAAACACCGCTGAGTACTTCCGTCGAATGTTGATTAGCACCCGTTTAATCGGCTGATTTGTTTGTGCAATCCATCAACAGTCGGATAGGACAACAGCGGTCAGTAATGATGGAAGGGACGCAGTAATCTAGTGATGAAATGTACACCGGCGTCGTATGCATCCTAAAATTTCGGATTTTGCTCTGGGTTTGCTGCTGCTAGCCGATTAATCGATTGAGCTGTTACCCTACGGTACTTCTGCTCATTACGGCGACGCGAATTAAGCGAACCGATATCATGGAAGTTGGGGGCAAAGTTGAAACCTGAAAGAGTGCTGATTTCGGGTACTAGTGCTTCGGCTCACCACTCTCACTAGCGAGGTTAAGCTAAGTGAATCTAGACCTTCAATATTTATTAGTATGTGGTTATAGTCACACTATTTGCGCAGATATGGTTAGTGTATCACACAATCAACTAGACTTATTGGTGCACATTTGTGATCCATACGAAATCACGAAGGATCCAAGTGTTCTGCACTCGTTCAATTTTCAAAGTATGGTGGAAATGGACAGTGTTTTAGCAGTACCATTTTACCATTACATTTAAGGGCTTGCACTATAACAAGCCACACACAAAAGCTATTCACATGATAGGAGTAAAAGGCATATTATTGAATTCCGGGAGTGGAACGTTTGTTGTTTCGGAGAGAGTTGAGAACAATTGGTTGATTTATTAGTTAGTTGCCTTCCCTTTGGTCAGAACATGCGTCAGGTAGAGCAAATTGATTATAGTCAAGAATATGCGACATGCACCGAAACACAGCGAATATCTGGCAGTAATGTGCATGCCTATCACGCTGGTAACAGAAATGCTATCAGAAGCGAACGTCAGAAAAGCAAGGATGACAAATGTCGTGGAGGAATGCAATTTCAGTGAAAAAAATTTGCGGTTGAATTCATGAGTGATAAGGTTTAGGTCTAGCAAGAAGGTGTTAGTTAATATTGACCGATAAACTACAGTATCTTGTGCGAGTATGCCTGATTCTGCGCTTTAGTCTGGTGGAAGGGACGGGTACGTATTCGGATAATGCGCGGCAGAGAGCTGATCAATATAGATACATAGTTCTAACGAGGTATTGCAGGAAGTTATATGGGCGGACACAATAATGCCAGAAAAACCTTGCTTTGACCTATTGTGACATAGATTGATGCCTTAGTGATCAGGTGGAAGATTCAAACGCTTGCTCCGTTGAGTCAGAACACTATAGATTCGTTCACTGGACTAGGCTGAATGCGGTGTTAAACCTAAGGCTCAAACTGCGACAGATAAAGAAGGATGTGAAACGCGGAACGCGAGACGACTTTCGGACTTATGTGAACATTCACGTGCACAGCCCATGATAGTATGGATACCATGACTGAGTCCACCTAGCCTCTCAACTATTCCGTAGCACAAACCACACATCTTGTTTGATCAGGTCAATCCAATGTAGAGATTTTGGGATGTCTAGGCACCTCACTTTGCCCTAACGCCCCTCTATGTGCGTAATACTTTACTCGGCTAACGCAGCTAAAGCTTCGAAGATCCATATGGTGTATAAATGTATAAATTCTAGCCTCCTTCTTTTCGCATTTGAGTAAAAGTGTAGCGATTACAGAATTTCTGTTATGCACAAATAACCTAATCCGTACTAGTCTAATCTATTATGAACGATTGTGTATTACTCGTCTGGTTTTGGTTGATGACTCCAATTACTTAGTCCCATTCCCCGTTCCATTTTTTCATGTACCCGTCGCCTTCATGGTACCCCCGATCTGCATTGGAATGTTTGTGCACTGGTAAGAAACCACAGTGTTAGCCCCAAATGAACATCTTTACAAAAGGCGTATATATTGTGTCCCTGCATAAACCCCAACCATTGACAGCCTTGCATGTGTGAGCGTGTTGCCCATGTAAATACGATCCGACCTTTTTGGAGAAAAAATATACACTAGGAATATACATTATGGTTAGGACTATTATTATTATTAGTAGTAGTAGTATTAAAACCGCACTGCGAAGAAATTCCGCTAGATGTTGCTGGTGAGCAGCCACTTCATGCAATAAAAGAAAACCGTTAGATAACATTCTATTTTGATTTATCCAGCGACCGACCACGAGTTTTGAACCGACTCGTGAAGTCGTATAGGTGTTCTGTAACTGGGCTGAAGCAGCTGAGGTCAGATGCTTAATCTTCCAGATTACTCCAGCGTTTCTCAAGGGAGGGATGATGAGACCACGTAAATGAAAACGAAGAGGATTATAGGGTAGCTCACCGAATAGAATCAAAGTTTGCAGCTAGCAACGGAGAGGTTTTCACTGTAAATCGAGCCAGTTGAGTACCTTTGTCTTCTTCCGATATAACAATAAACTAAATCTATCAATCAATTAGCGTGGCATGAGTACACATTCGATATCACACGTACTAATCCCCCGATTTAGAGTGAGTACCCAATAATACCTGAGTTGGTACCGAATACGCAATACACGCAGTAGGATTACTTTGCCCATAGTAGCAACAGAGCTAGATGAGTCAGACGAAGTGAATTACGCGGCGACGTACTCGGTCAGCACTCGAGAGCCGTCCGCAATCCTCATGTCGTGCATTTATGAGCAGCGGTGCAACTCACCAAACATTTGCAGCGTCTTAGGGTGGAGAGGAGAAACGCAATCAGGCACAAATTCCACCTCCATGATGCATCAGTAATTGTTTCATAGTGTGTTAAACCAACCCTGATTCCGGAACCTCAAACCCACGATCAGTGCCAGCCGACGGAAAGCTAGGCGCTACAGATACCGTATCCTTAAAGTCCAAAGTAGGCCTCGTATCAGGGGGCGCCATGAGCGATAGGGTAGTCCATACACCCATAGCCAATCAAGAAGAATTCCCACTCGCAACAGGGAAGTAATTTGTTAGTTCGTTTTCAGTATGTATTCGACTAACGCAGCGCTCTTTCGGCAAACATTGTGGTAACCGTTTGCACCCCACACCATTACCGCTACGCCGAGAAATCGAGCTGCGATTCGACAAAATCATGGTTCACCCCAACCGTGCATCGCCATGCTAGTAGTCACCACATGTGCCGATACTGTGCTGGCGTTGCCAGCTGGACACGCGTGGGTGGTCTGGTTATCGACCAGGCTTGACGTCTTTGTTAGGTCACGCCTTGGTGTGGACGAGGCTAGGTTAACGAGATGGTGGCAGCATAGAGTTTGTTGGGAATCTTGACAGCTTGCTTGGGTGTCACTGAGACCGGCCTAAACTCGTCGCTGTCGCCTTTGCTGGAGCAAGAGACACCAATTTGACAGCATAAAGCGGTCGCACTGGGGGGTGTATTATTAGTAGGAATCGAGCAAATACTTGTCGCAATGCGTCCCGAGAGGAGAGCCGATCATGTAGCACTTCAGTAACTGGAGTTCAGCAAAACCACTATTTTCATCAAATGTGTTGGGTCAAAGAACTGGAGAGTTAGAAAAAGGGACTAGCCAGTTCAGCTGTGTTTTTCCTACGTATTCCCCAATCGCTGACTGCGTTAGTGACAGCAGAGTACAGCGCTTGAATCACTGGCCTGGTTTAGGATAGGTTAATGCCAGTCGTGCGAGACGTATGTACCTGATAATGAGGTACCGAGAAACCGCGCCCACAAAGGGACGGATCATATTTGCACGTACAACATGCTCAGGCATGCGAGGCTATCAATGGTTTGGGTTTTTACAGGGTTACAATAGGGATATTTTTGCGAATATTTTCATTTGGAACTTTTGTCGCCGTATGCTACCATTTCGCGGGTATCCTCATTTAGTTGTTTTCCGTGCACTTGATGGTGCCGTGATGGCGCAGTTTGTTGGGGGGGGGGGGGGGAGGAGTATGAAAAGGGTGAAGCAGTTGGGTTCACCAATCAAGATCAGATGAGAAATACACAATCTTACTTAATAGACTGGAGTATTACCGTTGGAGCTATGTGTGAGTAGCAAGTTGAGGAGTCGCGAAAAGAAGAAAAAGATTACATTTAGATAGATTTAGTGGATCATCTAACTCAATTTGCTTTAGCAGAATAATACGGACAGTATTCACATCGTAAGGAGTTAAGATATAGCGTGGTGTCTAGACATTTCTACGTCTAATTATGGAATTGACCTAATCAAGATGCATGATCTATGCAACCTTCACAATAAAGAACATCCAAACCCGTCCAGCCCGAAACGATGGCCACTCCGTTAGCACAAAAGGATAAATCCCGTTTAAAACCGTGCGACCAGTTATGGAATAATGTATCGAAGCATGAGAGGGCAAGTGAAAGTCCGCCAAGACATGTAACCATTGTGAACCTATTTTTTAAAATGAACCATAAAGAAACGACGCATTCTTCGACAGTGCGAGGCACAGTCCGAGTGGCCTGAAGACACATCTTCTGCCTATCTACGTGTATATTAGTG